ACAACAAGCACCCCCTAGGAATGTCAAGAGCCAGCATGGGCCCCAGGGCAAACACCCTCGCCGGGCCCCCTTTCTCTCTCTCTCTTTTTTAACATTTTCATGAATTTATTAAAAAGAAGATCCTAAATTAGGACAGCAACAAGCTCATAAACCAGACAAAATCATAGCAGCAGCCATTTTCACCTCACAGTATAAGCGTAAAAACGTTAATAAAGTAACAACAAATATCTATTAAATCTATAAAGTAACAAATACATATTAATCATTACTCAAATTATTATTTCAGTCATTCTTAATGTATCAAGCATCTATATGCAAAGAAAAGCCAAAAACTATGGTTTTATTATTAAATGAAGATATAGCCTAAAGATGCTTTGTGGTCTTTACAGAATAACCAGGTTTCAGTTTTCCGGGCCCCTGGGCAGTTGCCCCCTTCTCCCCCACCTGTCGGCGGGGTTGGCAACCCCCAAAACCTAAATATCACCTGCAAATTCAAGTAATTTATTGACTATTCCTTTATCTATGTCATTGATGTAAACTCCATTTGTAACAACCCTCTGCTTTCTTCCATCCAACCACTCTTCTGTCGAATTTGCTAACTTATCCCTCACACCTATGGAGAGAATGTTTTTACAAGCCTTTTATGTAGCACCTTATCAAATGCTTTCTGAAAATCCTGATATACTAAGTCTACACTCTTACCCTCATCTACATAAGCAGTAACCTTTTCAAAGAATGTCAAAAGATTTGTAAGGCAAGATTTTCCGTTAGTGAAATCATGTTGACTATCCAATATAATTCTTAACTTTGTTAAATGATTTTGCAAAGCATATTTTATCAGACTTTCCAAAATTTTTTCTACAACTGATATAAGACTAATGGGTCTATAGTTACTGGGACAATTTTTATCACCTCCCTTGAAAAGAGAAGTTACATTTATTTGTTAATATGTACACTTATAAAAGAATAAATTAACTATTACTGTGATAGGCTTGATTATGAAGGAATGAAAAAAAGACATGGATATTGATTGGAATGAACTGTTTTGTAATTCTGATGAAAATGTAGACTACAATGGAACATATTTAAAGATAAATTAAAAATTGCACCTGATATATGTGTTATTCAATTTGTAGATACTAGTAAACCTACCTGTTCAAACAAAGAAAAGTTCACTGATTGGTGAAATGACTAAATAGAAAATTAATAGTTAAACCTGGCTTGGGAAAGAGCTTAAAAAAGTAAGGATGAAAAAAAAAAGCATTTAACAGAAAAAGAACCTTCATATGGAAATTACAAAGAGATAAGGAAAAGAACATAGCTGAAGATGTTACAAAAAAATCTACAAATATGAAAAGCAGTATTAGTGATTTGATGATGAGTGATGAAAATAGAGACTAGTGGAAAATGACCGAGAGAAAGAAAAAGTGTTTTCAGATTATTTCAAAACTGTTTACTAATGAAACTTGTGAATCTTTTAATATTGAACAAAGACAGGATGATGCTCAGTTAGGTAACTGTAAAATAACTGAAAATTTGTATTGAAGAAATTAAATGGATTGAATGTGGCTAAATCACCTGAACCTAATATAAACTTCTCAAAAGTATATTTGGCACGTCATTAAGAAATGAAAATATTGTTGGTGAATGGAAATAAGCTAGAATTTCTGTTGTATTTAAGACAGGAAGTAGAAAATTACTAAAGAATTATAGACCAATCAGCTTCATACATATTGCATATTGAATTTTTGAATGAATTATAAGAGACACTTAAACATTTTAAAAGAAATAAATTATCCATTAAAAAGCAATTTGGATTCAATAATGGCCATTCTACAACTTAATTGTTATTACATGTAATAGAAGATTGATGTCAATTGCTAGACAGAAGTTGATATGTTGATACATTTTATCTTGATTATACAAAGGCCACTGATAAAGCATCACACATGAGACAGCTGAGTAAAATGAAAAGCTATGAAGTGAGTGACAATGGTTTAGAATGGATTAAAGCATTCTTGTCTAATAGAATATGAATATGTGTAAATAATGAATTTTTTATGTGGATGTATCTATTGGATTTCCCCAAGGAAGTGTGCTTCATCATGTTTTATTTGTTATTTATATCAGTGACTTGCCAGAAGCTATAAATCATTCAGATGTGTATTCATTTGCTAGTGATGCTAAGATTTTTAAGAATGTAAATTATATTAGCAACTGTGATAAATTGTAAGAAGATTCAAATGTGTTGATAAAATGACTTGATTTTTGAGTACTAAAATTTCATCCAGAGAAATGTAAACATTCGACACTTTGTTTTTGGTAATGTACGTTTATTCTTCGGACGTTTCGGAATATTCACATTCTATCTTCAGCGACTATATTAATTAATCGATAGTATTAAATACACATATTCATTTTGTTTTTGGTAATGTACGTTTATTCTTCGGACGTTTCGGAATATTCACATTCTATCTTCAGCGACTGTATTAATTAATCAATAGTATTAAATACACATATTCATTAAGTTCAAACATTTGTAGTAGCATAAGGCGAAAGAAAAAACAAACAGTCTAAAACAACAACAACCAGCGGGATTTAAACAGGAAATAACAAAATTTTAACAATTATATTACGAAACTAGTGTGGTAAAGAAGGGGAGGTATAGAGATAACGTTGTATAGTTGACAGTGTGCTAGGGATATTTATAATAGGCTTAGCTGTAAAGAAGTTGTGTTGTTGTTTAGAGTGGGGTTTTCATTTAAAATGGACAAGCTTTCTTTGATGAGAAGTTCTGTGTTGGATGAACTGGTCGAAATTACTTTAAAATTGTTAATCAGAATAGGGAGGTTGTTATTTTCACAGTGTAAGTGGATTGCTGAGTCAGGTGGATTTGATAGTTTATTACCAGTCCTACTCGATATTCTCATATGTTCACAAACTCGTAGGTGTAATTGGCGTGTGGTTTTACTAATGTAAGTGGCATTACAGCCACAACACGTATATTTGTAGACAAATTTTGAATGCATGGGGTAAGTAAGCGGTCCTTTGTTTTAAATAAGTTTTGTGTTTTTAAAGGGTGTTTTAAATATCATTTGTAGTTGGATTTGTGGTTAAAATGTTTTAATTAATCTTACAATTTGGATCTTCATTATGTAAGATTGTTTTTCTAGAAAAGGAGTGACCAGACATAATTGGAATTTGTTAACAGTGTGTGGTTTCTTGGAGAGTTCGTGTTTTTCAGAAAGGAACTTGTTTGTTATAGCTTGGGTAAAATGGGGTGGATAACCGTTATTTGTTAAGATGTTTTGTAGGGTAGTGATTTCGGTATGGAGAGAGAAATAGTTAGAACAGATGTTGTATGCTCTATTGAGGAGATTTAGGATGAGGTTACTTTTAAACGAGTTAGGAATAAAACTATCAAAACGAGTATGTGGTCTTGTATAAATTTCCTTAAGATAGGCAGAAGCTGTAAACTGGTTATCTAATTTTTTAATTAAGACGTTGAGGAAAGGTAGTTTACTGTTTTTTAATCTCGCAGGTAAATTAATGTTTGGGTGCTTAGCATTTAGGTAGTCCAGAAACTTTTTGATGTGATTATGGTTTCTAAAGAGGAGAAATGTATCGTCAACATACCTTTTATAAAGTGTTGGTTTGAACTCCGCTGGAGAGGTATCTAGCCAGGAACATTCATAATGAGAAAGAAATATGTTGGCGAGGGTCAGTCCTAAAGATGACCCCATCGCCACACCATCTATTTGGTCATATACAAAACATCTCAACAAATAACGGTTATCCACTCCATTTTACCCAAGCTATAACAAACAAGTCGGTTTTATGTTATTTGATATGGTAACGTGAGTTCAAGTGAGCCTCATTGTTGTAACTTCTGTATTGTTAGCCAGGCATGGCTGAAAGATCAATATAATAAATATATATGAATGTATAATGTTGTGAGATTTAAGCTATTTCATCTAAACATTTATGTTTTTATTTTATAATTTGTGTTCATTCTAGAATGAAAGAGGCATAATTTATGTTTATTTCCTAATTTTTTTTTATGCTGGTTGCAAGATTGTTCAATCCTACCAAACCTATACAGAGATTAATTACTGAAAATAACAAATAAAATATAAAGTTTTTTCTTAAGAAACATTTGATAACTATCTAGACATTATAAAGATTTCGCATATCAAATTT